AAATTCGGTGCGGTTCTGAAGCCTACGGGCAAACCATTAAAGAATCAGAACCGCAATGCTATGAACCGAATTAAGAATGGGAATCCCTCTAGGGCCCCAAATGCTCCAATTGCTAGGCAGCAACCACCACCACAGAGAAATGATGCTCCGGTTTTCACTTGCTACAATTGTGGGAAACCGGGTCACATGGCAAAAAGGTGTAAGAGCAGGCCTAAACCTGTTGTTGGCTCAAATGCTCAGGTTAACCTGACTGATGAGCAATTCATTGCTATGATCACTGAAGTCAACATGGTTGGTGGAAGTGATGGTTGGTGGATAGACACTGGCGCCTCTCGTCATGTCTGCTACGATCGTGCTATGTTCAAAACATACATGAATGCTGAAGATAAGAAAGTGTTGTTGGGAGATGCTCACACCACTAAGGTTGCTGGAATTGGAGATGTTGAGCTGAAATTCACCTCAGGAAAGACTTTGATCTTGAAGGACGTCATGCACGTTCCTGAAATTAGGAAGAATCTCGTTTCTGGTTTTCTTTTAAATAAGGCAGGGTTTAGTCAAACTTTAGGGGCAGATTTGTACACCATCACTAAGAATGGTATTTTTGTTGGGAAAGGGTACGCCACTGATGGCATGTTTAAGTTGAATGTTGATTTTAATAAGATTTCTCCTTCTGTTTACTCTTTGTGTGATTTTAATATTTGGCATACTAGACTTTGTCACGTTAATAAGCGAATTATGCATAATGCGAGCAACTTGGGCCTAATCCCTAAATTAAGTATTAATGATACAAATAAATGTGAATACTGTAGTCAAGCAAAAATAATCAAGACTTCGCATAAATCAATTAATAAGGAATCTGATCCCCTAGATCTTATACATTCTGATATATGCGAACTAGATGGAAGTTTAACTAGAAACAATAAACGTTATTTTATCACTTTTATTGATGATAATTCAGATTATACTTATGTATACTTAATGAAGAATAAAAGTGAAGCGCTTGAAATGTTTAAGACATATGTAACTGAAATTGAGAATCAACTTAGTAAGAAGATTAAGAGACTTCGTAGTGATAGGGGGACTGAATATGATTCTGGTTTATTTAATGACTTTTATAAAGAACATGGAATTGTACATGAAACGACTGCTCCATATTCTCCTGAAATGAATGGTAAAGCAGAAAGAAAGAATAGGACTCTTACCGAACTTGTTGTTGCAATTATGATAAATTCTGGTGCTGCTCCTCACTGGTGGGGGGAAATTTTATTGACTGTTTGCTACGTCCTGAATAGAATCCCCAAGTCAAAAAGTAAGATCTCACCATATGAGATATTAAAGAAAAGACAACCAAACTTGTCTTATTTGAGAACTTGGGGCTGCCTGGCTTATGTCAGAATTCCGGATCCGAAACGAGTTAAACTCGCTAGTAGAGCATATGAATGTGTATTCATTGGATATGCAGCAAACAGTAAGGCATATAGGTTCTACGACCTAAATGCAAAAGTAATCATAGAATCAAATGATGTTGAATTCTATGAAGACAAATTTCCTTTCAAACTGAGAAATAGTGGGGGCACCCAATCGAGTCACATTCCTGTGATAAGAAGTACAGAAAACAACAACGAAGTAGAAACAAAACTTCGGAGAAGTAAAAGAGTAAGAGTCGCTAAAGACTATGGGCCTGATTATGCGGCTTATAATATAGAAGAAGATCCAATAAATCTTCAAGCAGCATTGTCATCTCTAGATGCAGATTTATGGCAAGAAGCTATAAATGATGAGATAGAATCCCTAGATTCTAACAAGACATGGCACTTAGTAGACTTGCCTCCTGGTTGCAAACCGATCGGTTGTAAATGGGTTCTGAAAAAGAAACTAAAACCTGATGGAACTATTGATAAATACAAGGCTCGCCTTGTAGCCAAGGGTTTTAGACAAAGAGAAAATATAGATTTCTTCGACACTTTCTCTCCAGTCACTAGAATCACATCCATTAGGGTACTTATTTCAATTGCTGCTATTTATAACTTAATAGTACACCAAATGGATGTTAAAACAGCTTTTTTAAATGGTGACTTAGAGGAAGAAATCTATATGGAACAACCAGAAGGGTTTGTGATCCATGGACAAGAAAACAAGGTTTGTAAGTTAGACAAGTCTCTATATGGACTAAAACAAGCCCCTAAGCAATGGCATGAAAAATTTGATAACTTAATGATATCAAATGGATATAAAGTGAATGAAAGTGACAAATGCGTTTATTACAAATCTGAGAATCGCATTTGCACTATCATATGTCTTTATGTAGATGATCTACTTATATTTGGATCAAACATTCAGACTATTAATGATGTGAAATCTTTGTTGTGCAACAACTTTGATATGAAAGACCTGGGAGAAGCAAATTTAATCCTCGGTATCAAGATCACTAGATCCAAACAAGGAATTTCTTTGGATCAATCACACTATGTGGAAAAGATCTTAAAGAAATATAATTACTTTGATTGTGAACCTGCTAGCACTCCATACGATCCAAGCATGAAACTGTTTAAGAACACTGGTGAAAGTGTTAAACAGACAGAATATGCAAGTATCATTGGAAGTCTTAGATATGCTACTGACTGTACTAGACCTGACATTGCATATGTCGTGGGATTGTTGTGCAGGTTTACTAGTAGACCAAGTAATGAACATTGGCAAGCTATTGAGCGAGTCATGAGATATCTCAAAAAGACTGTGAACCTCGGTTTACATTATCAGAGATTTCCTGCTGTACTTGAAGGATACAGTGATGCTGATTGGAATACTTTGTCAGATGATTCCAAAGCTACTAGTGGCTATATATTTAGTATAGCCGGAGGAGCTGTATCTTGGAAATCAAAGAAACAGACCATTCTGGCTCAGTCCACAATGGAGTCTGAAATGATAGCACTAGCCACAGCTAGTGAAGAAGCAACTTGGTTAAGATGCTTGCTAGCTGAGATTCCCGTATGGGAAAAACCTATGCCAGCTGTGTTGATCCACTGCGATAGTACCGCGGCTATTGCAAAAATTGAGAACCGTTATTATAATGGTAAAAGACGTCAAATAAGAAGAAAGCACAGCACCATTAGAGACTGTATCTCTAAAGGAGCTGTAAGAGTGGATCATGTACGCACTGATGAAAACTTAGCAGATCCTTTGACGAAAGGATTAGCTAGAGAGAAAGTCTATAACACATCATATAAGATGGGACTAATGCCTATATGAATATGAGTTGCTCACAATGGTAACCCGACCTAAATGACTGGAGATCCCAAGAAATAGGTTCAATGGGTAATAACAAGTTGTGAGTGATATGAGATGATCATGCAAGAGAAGCATGATTCCTGAAGTAATAAGAGGTTGAGATAATAGAAACTCTTAATGAGATCTACACTCTGTATGAGGGAGTACCTAGACTACAGGAGTACTCTTGATAGACTCACCTTGGTGATTGTGGAACTTGGGTCGGTTCCTATGGAATTGCGAGGCAAAATTCCTAGAGCCTTCACTAAACCGGGATACACGTGCAGGGCCATTAAAGCGCGGGCTATTAGAATACACCTTAAAGAAAAGGTTGTGTGCGGGTCTGATGTCTGAGATAGAGTTCAAGACAATTGTGTCACTCTTGTTGAATCAGAATCCTACTTGCTACGCAAAGGTTCAAGTCATAGACACCTTTGCTTATGCACAATCTTAGAAACGTCTGACGTTACCTCTAAAATCACCTTTTAAATTCAAGTGGGGGATTGTTGGAAATCTTGGAATGATGACAACTTGAATTGGGAATTGGAATGATTCATTGACATTAAATGGGCAATTAATGAGCACATGAATGAACTAGTTTGTGAGTGAATTTGAAAGGATTCATTTAAGTCCCACATTGGAGGGAACACAACTTCTAGTAGTGCATAAATACTCCAACTTGGACACTTGGGTTGGGCCCCAAGGGGCACCCCAATTTTGTTAAGGAGTGAGGACACACCACTAAGTCATCTAGACACACACGCGCGCGCGCCGCCGCCGCCGTCCGTCCGTCCGACCGACCGGCTCGGCTCGGCTCGGTTCGGTTCAGTTCGGTCTAGATGAATTAATTTTTTGAACCGGATTTTGGTGAAAATTAATTATTAATGATTATTAATAATTAATTAATTCGGTGGAATTAATTAGCATTAACTAATTAAAAATAGTGGAAATTAATTAATATTTAATATTAATTAATTACGGAATTAGTGACGTGTCAATTACTTGCCTTCCAAGAGTCAAAACACATGACTGTCTGACCAAGCAATAACAGTTACTTTTGACTGGGCCAATTCAACCCTCTCCCACGTTCTTCCTACTTTTTCGAACTGTTTTGTTGAATTAGTGATTTATTTCAATTGCAAATAACTCCAGTATTTACATTCTCGTTTTTCACTCTTCTCTCTCCCTATTCTGCTTCATCTCAATTTTTTCTTACTCTGTGTTTTCGACTGCTTCTTCGCAGATACTACGAGTGGTTTCTACACCATCAGAAGGTGTTATTCATAGAACGATTTATCACAGTGCAAGTGATAATCGTATTTTATTCGAACGGGCTGTTTTATCCTGGAGACGTCGCCTATTATCGACTGCCTTGCACTTTGTTGGCATCCGGCGAAACGTCTTAAAGAAAGCGTACCGATCCGCGACTCGACCCGATAAATTTCTCAGTGGCTACTCTTTTTTAACTAATCCGTGAACAACAAGCAGTGTACTCGCTTGAACTCGATAGACAAGAGAATAGAACACGAGAGAATTCTTTAGCTCAAGATTTTTGGATTCCCTTCAAGTATAAGCCTACACAAGTATTGATTGATCAAAGAGATGGATCAATTTTTGGTGCAATATTTGAATGGGATCGGTCTGCGTCACTGTCTGAACTCAAACCATTTAAACCAATTGGCGCCCCTAGAGCTGTATTAGCACTGAGAGGAACATTGATCAGAATCCCTACAATGCGAAGAGATTTCGAAGATGATCTCCGCTCCATTGTTTTGGAAAGCTTGAAGGACTCTGCGAGGTTTAAAGTAACTATGGATGCAATAAAATCAGTTTATGAAACACATGGAAGCCGAAATGTATGCATTGCAGGGCATTCTTTAGGGGCTGGATTCGGTCTTCAAGTTGGAAAGGAATTGGCGAAGGAAAGGATTAATGTCGAAACACATTTGTTTAATCCGCCTTCTGTTTCACTTGCTATGAGTCTTGGAAATATTGGAGAAAAGGCTGAATGTGTTTGGAATCGAATTAAACCTATGCTTCCCCTTCCCTCGAGTAGTGAACCTCGAGTCAGCAACGATGTGGGTGAGACTTACACTATACAATCGAAGAGAACGATACCTCTGTTGCTGCACCTGATAGATGTTGGTTTCGGAAAAGGAAAATGGGTTCCTCATCTTTATGTTAACAACAATGACTGGATCAGTCACTTTTATATCCATACCAATATGGCGAGAGAGAAGATCGTAGATGTGGAGAATACTGATCCTAGAAATGAGCAAAATGGAGTGAAGTTGTTTGTTGTCTCAAATGAAGACCAGAAATTTCTCGAGGCTCATGGCATGAGACAGTGGTGGTCAAGTGACAGTAACGTAGAGCTTAAGCGTGATACCCGCAATAGCAAACTCGTAAGCACGCGACTTAAATCTTTGAACACCATTACCCCTTCTCAGATAATGCTTTTCTACTATCCACAGTATATTTCATTAGCCACGAGCTGCATAAATATTAGAGTTGCGACAGATTATACTTGGAATATACTTAAATGCATGCCTCATAGAAGTGGTAAAGGTTTGATGGGTCGGATACTCCAATTATCTGGTAGTAAAACCCGCCTGAAAAATGACTATGACAACAAGATATCAAGTGTACCAATAACGAGTTTGATGCCTTTGCTATCAAACGTCAAGGATGGTTGTTTTGTGGCAGTGAAAAGGGTTTCTCGTGTGTTTAATCTACCTTTTGTTTCATCAGCCATGGGTCATGGAAATAATGGAGAAAAGGAAAACTTTGTTTCAAGTAATGAAACTCGTGTCAGCAATGATTCAAGCAAGACTTCAAGTGTAGGTTTGAAGAAGTGGAAACTACAATTATTTGGCATGAAGGTTGCTGCTTTTGGGGTGGGAAAATCTGTTCCCTATCTGTCTCTGTATGCTAACAAGAGAAGTGGTGGCATGTGAGAGAAAATGGTTGACAGGGACAATAAGATTCAGTTGCAATAACACAGAAAAAGCCTCAAGTTACATGATTTGCAAAATGACTAGTTTTCAATCTTAACAATGCAGTTGCATCTGCTTTTGCTTTTCATGCTATACTTTAATTTTATATTGAGTTAACTTACTTCAAATGGTCAAATTCAATTATCAGTTAATAATCTAAATAAAGTCACTCTTTTTTTAAAGTATAAATAAATTTGATCTTAATAGTACATGAAACATGGAAAATGAAAAATACAAAGGCAAAAGCAAAATCTATATACTTTAAATCTCAAGAGCTGGTGTCTCCATAAAAAAGATGTTTTCTACATTTGAACTCCTCAGTATATTCCTTCGGCAGTGCTCTAAGGCTTCCCACACACCACGCTTGTTACTTGTTAGGGTTTATGATATAAATGTTTTTTCAGGGTCACCTCTCATTTGTCCCAACAAAACCTCGATAGCATGGATGTCCTGAACCCAAAAGAGAAAAGGGATACTTGTAGAGAGCATAATAACAAATTAAAGCTTCAAATTCTATAAATTTAATACTATAAAGATCAACAAAAGATGTAGAAAATAACACTAGCAAAACAAAGGCCAAGAACATATATAGACAAGTCAAACAAAACAAGCTAGATAAGATTGGTTACTTAGAGTAATAATATCCCACATCATCAAGAAAATGAAGGGGGGAAATTGCTAGAAGGTGCAGTTGAGTTATTAATGAGGTCATATAATATTTAACAGCTTTTTAATGTAAATATTGATTGTACCATTTTGCGAACAGTCGTATTAATCTGTTAAAGGAAACAGAACCATAGCATGTGCAACAAAAGACAAATAAATAGAAGATTGTGGAATTTCAATATGTATATGTATCTAGAGCAAACACAGATTTTTTTTTTTTTTTTTAGAATTTGAGGACAGACTTACTGAGAGAGTAGAAGAGATATCTCTTGTGATCAGTGGAGAACGTGTGGGGTTCCCAAAATTTAAAAACGTAATTAAGTATACGGTGGGTTCTGGTTCTACCTTGCCGTTACCCTGTGCTGTTCTTTCTGAGAGACAGGTGGGATATGACAGGAGCACATACGGGGAAAGTGAGGGGGAGGGTGATGACAGTCACACTTGTGAATCCAAAGGGTGCCAGCAGAAGTTACAGGAGTGGGAATTAGAGGCAAACCAAGGGCTTTAGGGTCAGGGCATGAGTCATGAGGGAATTCCTAGAGCATGATACAACAGAAGAACATGGCTACATATTAGAACCATTAATCTAATGTGGCAAGTCTACAGATTTTGAATGGTTGTCATTGTAAGTTGTTTTACACCAACAAGCAACAACAGACAATGCATCGCATTAATATTCTAATAAAAAACATAAAAAATGGTGGGAATGATTGTTTGTCATGCGTACATCAATTTCAAAAGAACGACTTTCGTTATGTTCTGCTCCGCCTTTGTACAAATGCCTTGATTTTCAATATTGATGTAAACATTGTAACGAATGGATTAAATACTCACTAATAATGTAGAGTTTACAACATCACTTGTTCTATCTTCATCAAAAAGTTATATTTCTCTACATTTGAATATAACAACTAATTAGGAAACTTTAACCAACAACGGTAGTTCCATTCCATTAGATAAAAAAAAGGTACGGAAGAAGAAAAAAATAAAAGTAAAAACCTATTGAATCATATAATAGTTTGTACCTCGTGCATACCAGCAGAACTAGCAGGCCTCTTCCTCGTGTTTCCGCAAATAAATCCTTTCTAACAACTTTCGAAAAACAATCTGGGAAGTTACATATGTGATCTATTGCTAGACCACAAAATATTTACTGGATCAAGAGTTTGAGGAAGCCTTAGTCTTTTCAGTCAAAGATGAACCCAATTGAATCATAAGAGGATAAACAGGGCTAAACTCCTTATCTCTTCTACTCCTCACATTTGTAGCATAGTCATCAAGTGTTGCTTTGATGCCCTTCCATATTTGATCCTCCCCTTGTGAATCAAGCCACAATGAATACTGCAATGGAGTCAGCCTGTTTCTTTGTAGAGGTGACTGCAAGTCTTCAGGACCACGGGTATACAGATGATGAAGTATAACATTTGGTGGCAGATCTTGAAGAAGGGAAGATGATGCAAGCTGGGAAGTTTCCAAGAATATAAGTGGACGAAATGCTCTAAGTGCTCGATATGGGGAACCAAGTTGCTCAACAGGGAACAAATTTTGACCCACAGCTAACTCCAGTTCAGCCATATCCCTAGCCATTCTCAATTTCCCTGATTCTGAAAGTGGTCTGACAAGAGAGGCATGCCGAATGAAGAATACCAGAACGCGGGAAGCCATACTCTGAACAAGCCGGGTGCATATGTTTTCAATTCCTGGTGTTGCGGTTTTTCTGGAAGGTAACAACTTAGATAGAAACTCACTGCGGAAGTGAAGAATACATTTCTGAAGCTCCTCCATGTAAGGTGATGCGTTATTGTCCATAGCAGCATCCATTCCAAGCATTCCAAAATTATGATCATGTATTTGCAATATACAAGACTCAAGACGATCGAGCATTGACTGGAATAAAGGCGTTACTGAGTCGCATGCAACACCATAAACTGCACCCAGCGAAGCAGACAACACGTCTGCAGCAATACTGGGCATTCCTTTAAGCATGGTTGATATCCGTGAATGAACATCTTGCAGATGTTGACACAATGTAAAGTTCTTGAGCTGTGCAGGTGTTGCAGGGCCATTTACTTGACGTGATTCAGGACCAGTGGATATCTGCCATAACAATGAAAATGAATAATTAAAAGATTAGGCACTGTACTTATACAATAGTCTTCCTTTCTCGTGTATAAAATGGACTAAAAGTTTCTAAAGATTAAGGATTTGAAAACTCAATCACAGAATAAAAATAGTGCCTTAAGGTACCAGAGAAAACAGAGTGAAAGCACTTTCAATATTACAAAACCCACAAACAGAAACTTAACAGGAAAGAAAGATCAGGACTTTCCCACGCAAGAATAAAAGTGGTTGCAACATTGCAAATGCAAGAGGCATGAAGGTGCATCTCTTAAAACCAACATAATTGAAATGGGCTCATATACAGAAGAAAATAGTGTTTGTTGATAGAACCTTTATTTTATTACATTCCATTCCAGGTATTCTAGAGTCCCAGTTCCCTCCCGCTCTAAATTCCTTTCTAAAACCAAAGATAACCCTTGTTAATCTTCCTTTCCTCTTTTTATAACATATCATCTAACACTGTCACATTAATTCTCTAACTCGCTAACTAGCTAAAGAAGTTACATGTCACAAATTCACAATCCCATTAAGCTTAAATCTGGAATATGCATTAGGTTAGCCATTACCTTTTGTTGAGACTTAACATATCTTTGGATATAAAAATTTATCCACAAGACTAAGGGAAATAAGGTTGGCAAACTCACTATATTTCCTGATTGACTAAGTTCAATTATCACATCAAATAGCTAATTTAAAATCATATACTCAGAGATTGACTAAGTTCAAGTTCTTTATAATTTAAGCATTGCACGTCCATGGTAAGTACCTATCATCAAAGATTGTGCCTCATCATATGATAGGTCTGTTATTGTTAGTTTAGTTGGTAAGTTAACGGGATAGTTAGTAGTTTGTTGACGGTTAATTAGGCCAAATAAGGCATGTTGCCTATAAATAGAGAAGAGGATTTGAGAAGGGATCATCTTGAAATTTGAGAGAAATAGGGCCTTTTGGCATTGGGAGGTAGGCAGACCCTCAAAGTGCTACCATTCTAGTAATAATATACCAGTTCATTCTAGTTCTATCATAATATGTATGACAAGTCACATGTTATTAATATACATAGATGGTTGATGCTTGATAAGGCTAGCTTAAACATTAATTATTTAATATAATAATATACCAACAAAGAAAAACAAAAGAATGACAGTTAATTGGATAGCTTTCCTGAAAAACCACAAACTTGATAGCTGCTTAATACTTCCTGAGTAATAAATGTAGTTTATAAAGCATTTTATAAATAGCAAATAGCACCTTAAATACAATGAGGTCTTTACTGTTTACCTGGTATTCAGCTCGCTCAGCAAAAAGAAGCAAGACCTTGCCAATTTCACGCAAAACAAGAAGAGTTAGGCGTGCATCCATCTGAACAGCTTGTATCTCTTCCTGAATGCGCGTTATTAGTCTTGATATTTGTTCCCTGGAGGGAACACTTCCACGACTGGACATTGGAAATACACTATTCACTAGATCTGAAAGACGACTCAAGCAGTGACCCAAGAATGCAGACTGGAATATTTCGACGGCTGAAACTATCTGGTCTTTTCCAGCTGAATTAATGGCTGGTAACACTCCTTTGACATCTGTGTCACGTGAAATTCTTTCAAGGAGATTTTCTATCATGGCGTAAAGCTTTGGATATCCCATTGTAAAATTCTCTTTAACAAAACTTGAAGCAGTGAAAGCAGATTTCATTTGGCTTGCAAAAGCTTTTGCAATGGCCTCCCAGACTCGATCCGTTAACATAGGATCACCTTCCTATTCAGCAGCAGTCAATGTTAGAACAGTGAGAAAAAATACAATTAGAAAATAAAAAATTGTGAATGATAGCAGCTCCGAAAGAGCAAGTGCAACCAATAGTCCTTGATAAGAACCCATTACTGTCAAAGTAAAACAGATCCAGTTGGGAAGTATATATAAATAGTAGCCAAACTTATTGCATAGGTTGAAAAAGTCATGTAATAACAATAATTAGAATCACTGTAAACTAGTATATAATTATTATTTTTGGTCTATATATTTTTGCAATATATGTCTCTCATGTTCTCTTTTCTTAACAGCCCAGACACCCTATAAAGTCCATCAGAGATATTTTTCTCCCATGGCACGAGATGGTATTATTTTTAAAAACCTAGATAAAAGACATTATTAAAAAAAACCAATGCAACATCTTTGTACATCTAGCATACTAATCACTTTATTCTATTCTGAATACAAATGAAAGAATACAGCTTCGGGAGATTATGTATTGATCAAGTCCAATTCAATACAATCCATCCGGTGATGTTTGGTGCATTAAAATCAGAAGCAAATTAACAAAATAAACTTTTAAGATTTCCCTGCCCTGCATCCTATTTACAGCATAAGCTAAGATATAAAGGTCTTGGACTGTCTGAAAGCCTATCTGAATAACTATACAAAAATGAGAAACAACAAATAATAGACCTTATCTCCTTATGGCATACTCTCTCTTCACTTATATTAGTACAGTAACGTACGTAATCCCACCACATCTGGTCGCCTCAACTTTAAAGAATAATAAGTTGTCAATCCCAGATGACGGAAAATAGCAGATTGTTAAAATTCTGCTATGTAATAGTGCTATAGCGCCACTATAGCCACAATTTAACAACATTTAGTACTAAATAGCATATCGCCCGTAGGACAATAGTGGTCTGTCTAAATTCCCCTATGCTATAGCAATATAGCACCGATATAGCTTCTATTTAACAACATTGTAACAGGGTGGGAGAAAAAATCACAGAAAGGAAGGTTTTACAAGGCTGGCAAAGGACTCATTATGAATTCTCATTTCTTTTAAAAGGAAATGTCCTACTTGTGGGATCTTTGGCATTTACAGAAGTATGCCACATGCCTACAATAAATTTATAAATCTTGGCATGTTGTCATATCCATTTCTTCAGAAGAATCATTACAAAATGAACTAATACACTGATATTAATTCCTTGATATTATTCAAGGTTCAAGCTATTAGTGTAATTCACTATTGCTTCCATTTAGAAAGAGGACACACAAAAAATAACTCACATACACTAAACTTCAAATTAAATCAGGTTTCAAAAACTAAAATCAAAATAACATTGTGGCGTTAACAGTTTCTGCAAGCTCCGAACTTAAATTCTACCCCCAAAATTGGTTTCTTTTAACAGGATGAAAGTTGGAAGCTTTATATAATCCACATGTATGTGTTACATAATTATATCAGTAAATCCATTGTAGGAGAGAAGTACTAGTACTTCCTTTCCCATTTAAACCAGGGCACTCAAAGGACCCAGTTTGGATTAGCTTCTAATAACTTTTGAGAATTGCTCAATTTAAACAAGCTTACAATTCAACACTTGAAAAAAAGTCTTCAGATTCATAGATGCT